ATCTGCGTATGCTAAGGGGTTTCCCATAAGCAACACACTGTACTGAAACTCGAAAAAAGTGATAAATGAGCAAAAGTTTACTAAAAATATATGACTCTTAATAAAACAGAATTATAGACTAGAATTTGTGTAACTTACCTCAATTAGTTGAAAAAAAAACTTTGACATTGATGATGATCCAATTATACATCTAATGATCAAAGATTAATCGTGACTTCTATGTATCAAATATAAATGGTCTTATTATACAATTTTTTTGTTTTTTTTTTAGGAAAAACTTATTAAAATATCTATATCAGATGAACTATTTAACATTGTATGTACTTTATTTTATTTAATTTCAAAATTTCCATAAAAAAACACATGATCACGAGTTTGAATAGTGTCATAAATAACCTTGTAGAATTTCTTATTCTAGTAATAATTATCTCTAATAAATGTATTTATTTCTTTATTTTTCAAAAAATAAGGTCTACCTAAATTAGTGCGACTCCCTAGTCCTAACCAATGAATTGGTTAAGTTGGGGCAAGGGAAAGGTTCAGTCTCTATCCGATTAGAGACTTATACAGACCTTACTCAAAGAAAAATTAGTAATTCATATTTGAAAAGAAATGTCTCACTAAACCGAATGAAAAGCAAGGAATTGATGGCGGATATGTGAGTTAAAGCTATCAAAATTGGATACTATCTAAAGCTTTAAAAATTAGATTAGATACTAAGGTTTGGTACTTTAATTTTGTAATTTGATAGCAATTTAGAAACTTATAGTTTAATGTTACTTACTTAGGGAAGGGGCTGGGGCATAGCCACCCTAGACTTAGTCACCACATTACGGTTTTCATTTCTACCACTAATACCACTTTATTAACACTTTAAAAAATCTAACTCTTTATCTAGCTAAAAAAGCGGATAGGGCATGTCTTCTCCACTAAATTATCCAAAAAAAAGAAAAAGAAATGTTACTTAGATAAAAGTAAATGAAAAGCAGCATGTAAGAACTTTGAAATATGAGTGAAAGCTATTAATTGGATATTAGATTTTAATATTTTAATTTTCATATAAATAAAAATTAGGGAAAATTTACTTAATACCCATAGACAATGAACTATTTAACATTCTACTCATATCTTTTGGTTTATTTAAAATGTTCATAAATAAAAAAACATGATCATGAGTTAGAATGGTAACAAATGGGTAAAACAACAAATAGTTCAACTTTTATGAGTATTTTAATAAAAAAAATTTAAAGGGTTATGTTAGCGTGCTCACACCATGGAGTAATTTAACATTATACTTAATATAATTTGGACATTATATATATATATGAGAAATGATTGTATCGTAATATGATGCAACAAGCTTCAAAAACCATGTTATGGCCATTTGTTTGATCCAAATTTTGAAATATACACTCTCTTCATTCTAATGAACAATCGCAAAAAAATATACACTCTTTTCATTCTAATGAACAATTGCAACAAAACAATATATATATATATATATATATATATATAAGAGAGAGAGAGATAGAGAGAGAGCGAGAGAGAGA